CAGATTCAAATCCAGCCAAGATCAAAAACTTTTTTATGACGGTTATTTCTTTATACATAAGATAAGATAAGATTTGCTTTATTTATCTCACATAGGAGAAATTTACATGTCACATTTGGCATGGATAGAGACACTCAGATTGTGCAAAAGGAGGAAATGTGCAAACATGTTACATGCAGGATATATGTACATGATGATATATATATCTATAAATATCTTTATATATATATACAGTTTTTATATAACTGCCATTAAAAAAAAATGCCAATCTGCCAATCTTACGCACTATAGACGAATGTTTAATGACTGCGCCACTTATTTTGTGTTTTGGCAAAGAAAAAACCGAAAGATTCTATTATTGTTTTAGGACATTTCATCAAGAATGGAGCCAACCAAAGATGGTGAAGAGTGATGGATTGAAAAATACAAGCAGAAAGTTGTGTAATTGGAACATGAGGTTTCATCTCTATATTGTTAAAATCTTCATTTCTGTTCTTGGACCGTTTAAGCTGTGTCTTATACTTTGCATTCTTTTATAAAAAAATATATGTATTAATGCTCTTTCTTATTGTTCCATGTTTCTGATGTGGTTTTATTAAAGAAGAGAGAAATAAAATGATTTTTTCTTTTGTTTTATATATATATATAATATAATATATAATATATAATAATATATATATATATATATATATATATATATATTATTATATATTATATATTATATTATATATATATATAAAACAAAAGAAAAAATCATTTTATTTTTTCTTTTGTAAGTCATATACATATAAAATAAAATGACCTGTCCTGGAATTGAACCAGGTATCTTCCGCATGAGAGGCAGTTATAAACCAAGTGCGCTCATGTGGAATTTATGCAATGACATATATTATTATTACTCAAACAACATTTTTCAAACAATGTATGGCATTTCTGACATTCTTTATGAAGTGTTAGGCCCAAGGACCCAACATCAGCAAATGTCATTGGTAGTCGCTGGGGATTTGAACTAGCAACCATCAACACCGTAGACCTGTGCTTTTCCATCTGAGCCACTGGACCACTAGCTCCACTAATGCTGCTTGTTGTCTTTTGTACAGGCTGCTTTCAACTGTATTTGTTGCCCACATGCCGTTGTAAACGCCATTTATTGCCCACATGCCGCTTTACACGCCATTTATTCCCCACATGCCGTTTTAAACGCCATTTGTTGTCCACATGCCGCTTTACACGCCATTTATTCCCACATGCCGTTTTAAACGCCATTTGTTGTCCACATGTCGTTTTAAACGGCATTCATTGCCCACATGCCGTTTTAAACGCCACTTGTTGTCCACATCAATCAATCAATCAATCTTTATTTATAGGGCGCTTTTCCTGCACAGGGCAACACAAAGCGCCTCACAGTCCACACCACACAATGCACAAATCATCACCATTAAAATACTATTAAAAACACATATGTAAGTAAAAAGCATTAAAATCACATAAGTAATTTAAAAACATAAGAATCACACAAGTAATTAAAAACAATAAAAGTTAAAAACACAAAAAGTTACAACAATAAATAACAAGGTGTGTTAAAAAGATAAAATTCTCTAGTTGTATGCACAGGAAAAAAGAAAAGTCTTTAACATGGATTTGAACATTGACAGAGAGGCAGCCAGTCTCACATCCTCAGGAAGACTGTTCCAGACTTTAACTGCATAAATCTGAAAAGCAGCCTCCCCCTGTCTAGTCCTGACTCTGGGCACTAACAGGAGTCCCGTCCCTGCGCTCCTCAGAGTCCGGGCTGGTTCATATGGGACTAGCATATCATGGATGTACTTTGGTGCAAGGCCATGGAGAGACTTGTACACCAGGAGAGCTGCTTTAAAGTCTATCCTCTGGGCCACGGGAAGCCAGTGCAGAGACCTGAGGACCGGACTAATGTGGTCGTACTTCCTGGTTCTAGTCAGGACTCGGGCTGCAGCATTTTGAATGTACTGCAGCTGTTTTACTGCATGTGTGGAGATACCTGTGAGCAGGCCATTGCAGTAATCCAGCCTACTGGAAACAAAAGAATGGATAAGAATCTCCAAGTCTGCCCTGGACACAATATTTTAAATTTTGGCAATATTTTTCAGATGATAAAAAGCTGCTGATGTTACCGATCCAATGTGGCTATTGAAGTTTAAGTCAGAGTCCATTATTACTCCCAGATTTCTGACCTTATTTAAAGGCCCCAGGGAGAGAGACTGAAGGTGACAAATGACGGTCTCTCTTTGTTTCTCGGGACCAAAGACAATCATTTCGGTTTTGTCCGCATTTAGCTGGAGAAAATTGCATTGCATCCACTCACTGATCCGCTGGATACAGCGAAGGAGTGAGTCCACCGGTCCATGCTCTCCTGCAGTCAGTGAGACATAGATCTGAGTGTCATCAGCGTAATTGTGGTAGGACACTTTCATACTTTGAATTAACTGACCTAATGGCATGCCGTTTTAAACACCATTTGTTGTCCACATGCCGCTTTACACGCCATTTATTCCCCACATGCCGTTGTAAACGCCATTTATTGCCCACATGCCGCTTTACACGCCATTTATTCCCCACATGCCGTTTTAAACGCCACTTGTTGTCCACATGCCGCTTTACACGCCATTTATTCCCCACATGCCGTTTTAAACGCCACTTGTTGTCCACATGCCGCTTTACATGCCATTTATTCCCCACATGCCGTTGTAAACGCCACTTGTTGTCCACATGCCGTTTTAAACGCCACTTGTTGTCCACATGCCGTTTTAAACGCCATTTGTTGTGTACATGCCACTAATCAGCTGTGGCAGGTGCCGGTGCCACAAAAGGAGCCTGCCCTTACTGCAAATATGAGCGAGTTCCACTAATCTTTTAATCCCTGTGTATGTCCCATACGTTACTGAGCACAAGCCATTCATTTGAATAGGGAGCCATCTTGGATCACCGGGGCTTGGTAGAAATGCACTGAAAACAGATTCATAATAGATATGCTTTTAACACACAGATCTGAAAAGGGGAATATACAGTGCCTTGCGAAAGTATTCGGCCCCCTTGAACCTTTCAACATTTCGCCACATTTCAGGCTTCAAACCTAAAGATATAAAAATTTAATTTTTTGTCAAGAATCTACAACAAGTGGGACACAATCGTGAAGTGGAACGAAATTTCTTGGATAATTTAAACTTTTTTAACAAATAAAAAACTGGAAAGTTGGGCGTGCAATATTATTTGGCCCCCTTGCGCTAATACTTTGTAGCGCCACCTTTTGCTGCAAGTCGCTTGGGGTATGTCGCTATCAGTTTTGCACATCGAGAGACTGGAATTCTTTCCCATTCTTCCTTGCAAAACAGCTCGAGCTCAGTGAGGTTGGATGGACAGCGTTTGTGAACAGCAGTCTTCAGTTCTTTCCACAGATTCTCGATTGGATTCAGGTCTGGACTTTGACTTGGCCATTCTAACACCTGGATACGTCTATTTGTGAACCATTCCATTGTAGATTTGGCTTTATGTTTTGGATCATTGTCCCGTTGGAAGATAAATCTCCGTCCCAGTCTCAGGTCTTTTGCAGAGTCCAACAGGTTTTCTTCCAGAATGGTCCTGTATTTGGCTCCATCCATCTTCCCATCAATTTTAGCCATCTTCCCTGTCCCTGCTGAAGAAAAGCAGGCCCAAACCATGATGCTGCCACCACCATGTTTGACAGTGGGGATGGTGTGTTCAGGGTGATGAGCTGTGTTGCTTTTACGCCAAACATATCGTTTTGCATTGTGGCCAAACAGTTCGATTTTGGTTTCATCTGACCAGAGCACCTTCTTCCACATGTTCGGTGTGTCTCCCAGGTGGCTTGTGGCAAACTTTAAACAAGACTTTTTATGGATATCTTTGAGAAATGGCTTTCTTCTTGCCACTCTTCCATAAAGGCCAGATTTGTGCAGTGCACAACTGATTGTTGTCCTATGGACAGACTCTCCCACCTCAGCTGTAGTTATCTGCAGTTCATCCAGAGTGATCATGAGCCTCTTGGCTGCATCTCTGATCAGTCTTTTCCTTGTTTGAGATGAAAGTTTGGAGGGACGGCCGGGTCTTGGTAGATTTGCGTGGTCTGATACTCCTTCCATTTCAATATAATTGCTTGCACAGTGCTCCTTGAGATGTTTAAAGCTTGGGAAATCTTTTTGTATCCAAATCCGGCTTTAAACTTCTCCACAACAGTATCTCGGACCTGCCTGGTGTGCTCCTTTGTCTTCATGGTTCTCTCTGAGCTTTAAACAGAACATTGAGACTATCAAAGAGCAGGTGCATTTATACGGAGACTTGATTACACACAGGTGCATTCTATTTATCATCACCAGTCATTTAGGACAACATTGGATCATTCAAAGATCCTCACTGAACTTCTGGAGTGAGTTTGCTGCACTGAAAGTAAAGGGGCCGAATAATATTGCATGCCCCACTTTTCAGTTTTTTTATTTGTTAAAAAAGTTTAAATTATCCAATGAATGTCATTCCACTTCAGGACTGTGTCCCACTTGTTGTTGATTCATGACAAAAAATTTAAATGTTATATCTTCATGTTTGAAGCCTGAAATGTGGCGAAATGTTGAAAGGTTCAAGGGGGCCGAATACTTTCGCAAGGCACTGTATATAACTTGATACAAATGTTTTGACCAAACCAACAAAGGACCGGCAACCCTATAGGGTCACATGGCGTAAACTGCTTTATTAATGGATAATCAGCTTGAGAACCAATATATAAACTTCAACATTTGTACATCTGGAGTTTGTCACTAGATAGTTGTATTTAAGATGTAGATGCATGTTAAAATGTAAGTATTAATTTGATGCAGTACTGTATATTTTGCGTACAACAAAACTTGTTTATTTTTAAATATCTTTCTAAATATATTTGTGTTTGTGTCTTTTCTCACTAGATTGACCAAACTTCTTGGACATTGCCTATCACCCTGAATTATGGAACACTGATGATTTCTCAAAGTGGTCGTTCAGTTGTTATTGAGACTGACTTTGGCCTACATGTGCGCTATGACTGGCATCACTCACTGGTTGTAGGCCTGCCTAGTTCTTACAAAGGATATACATGTGGCCTTTGCGGAAACTTCAACGGGAACCCCAGCGATGACTTTGCAACTCCTTCAGGCAGCCAGGCAGGGAGCGTGGTGGAGTTTGGCAGCAGCTGGAAAGTACCTGGCCCCATGGACGATGCCCACTGCAGAGATGACTGTGTGGGTGGATGTCAAGAGAAGTGCGAGCACAAGCTGCTGCACATATGGGAAGGAAACTCTTTCTGTGGAATAATCACAATGGCGGGAAAAAATGGGCCGTTCAGTCAATGCCACAGATTAGTGGACCCAGAAGCGTACTTTGAGAGCTGTACATTTGACGTGTGCATAGGATTGGGGCAGCGTCTGTATCTGTGCAAAGCTCTGGAGGCCTATGCTGATGCATGTCAAAGTGCAGGAGTGGAGGTCTACGACTGGAGGACCATAGCCAGATGCCGTAAGTACTTTGTACAAACAGATCCATCCACACTAATATCTGGAACTTAATTCAGGAAAGCCTTTAAATCACCGCACATGATTCATGTGTCTGTTGTTTTGAACTGTTGGTTCAAAAGGGCACTCCCTGGCGCTCCGTGAGGAGCTCCGAGTAGAGTCATCTCGGGTCATCCTTTATTATAAGAATAATATAATATAAGATCTTATAATAGGAATAGTCCCACCCGGAGGAGACCCCAAGGAAGACCTAGGACCCACTATCTCTCTCAGATGGCCTGGGAACCCCTCAAGATTCCTCCGGATTAGTTGGAGGAAGAGTGTGTGGAGAAGGAAGTCTTGGCGTCACTGCTTAGACTGTTATCCCCGGGAAACGGATAAAGCAGAAGAAAATGGAATGGGAAGCAGAAAGTAATTCCCTAATTGTACCACTAGATGGGGGTCTTTTACTCAATTTGGACCTTTTCTTATTTTAATTATTCTTAAGAATTTGGTAAGAAGTTACAAAAATGTAAAATTATGTTAATGCTGGTTTTTGAAATAAATATAAAAAATGAGTGAAATATTACCCTTTTTTTTTCTTTATGGAATCCTTACATTACCTCATTACAACGAAAAGCAATCAATTGCAGTTAAATACATTACTATTGTAACACATTACTCCTAACACAGTTTGATTGTTAGTTGTAAATTATTTAAAGTTTTCTAATTACCTTCATTACACACAAAAAATCATCGGTTTTATATAGCGCGTTTTTGGACACTCAAAGGCGCTTCACATGTGTCATTATTCATTCACTCCATACACAGTGGTGATAAACTACTACTGTAGCCACAGCTGCCCTGGGGCACACTGACAGAAGCGAGGCAACCAGTATGTGCCATCGACCCCTCCAACCACCACCATTGCCTAGATTCATTCTAGGCAATGGGAGTAAAGTCTCTTGCCTAAGGACACGTTACAGCCGCAGCCGCCCCACTGTGGTACCTGGTGTTCCCAGAGGTCCTTAGGCTTGCCAAGGACACATCTACAGCAGACATCAGTGGGAGTTGGTGGAGAAAGTCTTATGGTGGGCTCAAACCCACAACCTTCTGGTTCAAAGCCCAATGCTCTACTAACTGAGCTACTGTCGCCCTAAATTAGGGCGACATACTAAAAAAGGAATGCATTTTAGTCTTTTCTTTTGTTTCTTTATGTTTTAACTCTAAACCCCAATATCTTTGAACCAATAACGTGGATAGAACCTGGTCATTCCAAGGAGAACATTTTTATATATTAAAGAGATCACATTTTCTTTTTCTTTCTTTCTAGCTGCTAAATGCCCTCGCAACAGCCACTATGAGCTCTGTGGAAGCGCGTGCCCAGCCACCTGCTCTGACCCCGACGCGCCCTCCAAATGCAAACGCCCGTGTATTGAGACCTGCACATGCGACGAGGGCTTCATGTGGAGTGGAAAACAGTGTGTCCCGGAGAAGAAATGCGGCTGCAGCTACAACGGCCGCTACGTTCCAGCTGGGAATTCATTTTGGACCGATGAGGACTGTCGCAATTGGTGCACCTGTGACCCCAAAAGCCGTAAAGTGCGGTGCATATTTGATTCTGACTCAATTAATATTAAGCGAGACAGTCTGAATTTATTTCTATTACAGTATAACAGGTGTTATTTTCAATTTTCAATGACCTCAGACATGTTAATTTGTCAATAACCAGCATATTTGGTATGAGAATAGAGTATCATGACCAAAAGTAGCACATTTATCCTGATATAAGGGCCGCTTTTATCCATTGACACAAATCATTCTGCAATAATACAATCTGAAATCTTGTCCTTATGGCATTTATTGTTGGTTCTCTACACAACATTGAAATCCAATCAGACAAAACAACAAATGGATATTAATTCCAGGTTAAACAAAGTTGCAATATAGCAAAATTGCGTTTTAAGATTTCAGAGGCCATGACACAACAGATGAAAAGTAACCTCTTGTCTAGTTCTGGCACATTTACTGAAATGTTAATTAATATGCACTGTCCCTAAGATAAATTAAAATTTACAGATTACAATCAGACCAATCCTAACAAATAAAATATCATAATTACTTTGATAGGCAAATACAAGTTGTTCATATTATGTACGTTTTATAAAGTTCTTGACTAAAGAAGAGTAGGCTTGTGCTCTCGTATCATTTCAGGCACAAAAAGGATTGAAAAGCCATTTCACGTACTAACAATTGACCACATGCTAACAGATATATGGCATTGGGTTTACATTCAAATAACATGAATACTTGAACAATGCAGCATTTTTTTTCAGATAAGTTTCAAAACTAGTTAAAACTAAAAGAGGGTATTGCTATTGGGCGGCACGGTGGCTGAGTGGATAGCACTCTCGCCTCTCAGCAAGAAGGTCCTGGGTTCGAATCCCGGTCGGACCAGGGCCTTTCTGAGTGGAGTTTGCATGTTCTCCCCGTGTCTGCGTAGGTTTCCTCCGGGTACTCCGGTTTCCCCTTCCACTAGAAACATGTCCAATAGTTCTGGCATGCGCCTCCTGTACTGGCGACCCGGCTCCCATCTCTGTGTGGAGTGAGAGACAAATGCCCAAAAATTAACAATTTTAAACCGCTTTGAGACTCAGATCTGCAGTGAAAAGGCGGTATATAAATAAAAACTTACTTACTTACTTACTATTGTTGTCCTTTACACCCTTTGATGAGTGCCACATGCACCTTCAAATCAGTGAAAATATAAGTGGCTTAAACAAGAGACTCATTAACAACATCAACAATTTTGGCATCTACCCAAGTTTCTAATGATTTTGACAAAAAGCAATTTTAGAGCCACATGTCCAGCTTATGTGACATGTTTTCTCTTTCTCTTTCCTCCAAAGGTTGTATGTAAGCAGCTCTCTTGCGGCCCTAATGAAGAGTGTGCAGTTAAAAATGGTGTCCGGAAGTGTCACCCGGTTGGGGAGGGCGTGTGCCGTGCCTCCGGTGATCCCCACTACATCACTTTTGACGGGAAAAAGTTTGACTTCCAAGGAACCTGCACTTATGTTCTGTCCCAAAGCTGCGGCATCAAAGGCACACACCTCACACCTTTTTCAGTCCATGTGGAGAACGAAGAGTGGAGTCGGAACCGGAGAGTGTCAGTTACGAAGCTTGTTGCCGTGAACGTCTATGGAAAAACTATCATCCTAAAACATAACACAGTTGGAGTGCTGGTAAGTTCATTCATAATATGTTTTTAAAGTGGATGCTTTTCAAATCGAATCTGAAGCCATTAATAACTGATCTGACATCACTCATCTGAAAACTGCAACTTGCTCCACACTAAAACATAGCATTCATCAAACGCTTTGGTTTCAGTAAGAAGTGATAGTGTTTATGTTGCCTGAAAAATGCCAACATCTGTCAAACTGCGCTGGATTAGGTTTAGAAACAGGGTTGTTAAAAGGTTAACACTCCACCTAAAAGTTTTTTTATGTGTTGGTAGTAAAAGGATGCAAGCAACAAAGTGTTTCAACTGTTTGTGTTTGTCTTCCAGGTGGATGGAATTGTCAACAATGTCCCAATAAATATAAATCAGGGTGCAGTACTTATCTTCAAGGAGGGGACCCATTATGTGATTGAGACGGACTTTGGGCTGAGAGTGAGTTATGACCTCCGATACAGTGTTGTTGTGACGGTACCTGGTAATTATCAGGAGGTTTGTGGTCTGTGCGGTAACTTCAATGGCAATCCCGAAGATGACATTCAGCTTCCAAACAAGAGACTCATTAACAACGTCAACAATTTTGGAAATTCATGGAAAGTAAACATTCCAAATGTTTTGTGCTCAAATGGCTGTGAAGGAAATCAGTGTCCTGTCTGTGACAAACTCCATGAAGCTGTGTTCTCCAAATACGCCTACTGTGGCATATTGACAGCGCCCAAAGGTCCTTTCGCCAGCTGCCACAGTATACTGGACCCTAAGCAGTTCTTTGAGGACTGTGTGTTTGACGTGTGTGCGGCGAATGGAGAAGAAAGTGTGCAATGTGACAGTGTAGCGGCCTATGCTTTCAGTTGTCAGAAGGCAGGAGTGGCTATACAAATCTGGAGGTCTCCTTTCTTCTGTCGTAAGTACCATCTGCTTTAAGTGTTGCGGACACTATAGAATACATAAAACAATGTCTTCTTGTTTTTAGCGATGAAGTGTCCGGCCAACAGCCACTATGAGCTATGTGCGGACTTGAGTGGTGTGGCCTGTTCGGGACTCGCAGAAATAGTGCCGTTTAACACTGGCTGCAGAGAGGGCTGTGAATGTGACACCGGTTTTGTGTTCAATGGAGAGACATGTGTCGAAGAGGATGAATGTGGCTGCTCTGATGGGCAAAGAACATACAAGGTACTCTTTCCAAAATGTAAATCATTTGGAAACCATACTTATAACAAAATGATCTTTGCCTTTAGCCTGGTCAACTGTTTTATAATGAAGACTGCTCCAAAAAGTGTGTGTGTAATCCGGTGAAAGGACTGGTTTGTGAAGACCACTTGTGTCTTCGAGGCACCACATGTTCTGTGAAGAAAGGCATTGTGGGATGCTACGACAAAGGCAGGGCCCATTCCTATACAAATTGAGGAGCAGAGGATACGTGAACTTACAAGTGTCTCCTTTTCATTTTAGATCCCTGCAAAAATGCGAACTGCCGCATAAAAGAAAAGTGTCGTGTTGAAAAGGATGAAGCTGTGTGTGTGCCAGCTTTCACTGGAGTCTGCCGCGCCTGGGGCGACCCACACTATATCACTTTTGATAACTTTAAATATGACTTCCAAGGGACATGCCGATATGTCATCTCTGAAACCTTTGGAAACCTGGACGGTCTGGTTCCCTTCTCAATCACAGAGAGAAATGACAATAGAGGAAACCAAGCCGTTTCATATGTGGCAGATGTGGAGGTGTCTGTGTATGGATATAGTATCATTGTGCACAAGAACCAAGTCGGCAAAGTCACTGTAAGATTTAAGTCTTATTTCTAACATACTCACACAGATTTAAATGCTTTTTTTTTTATCTTTTCACAAACCTGTCTTTTCACAGGTTGATGGAGAGCTCTATAATCTGCCAGTGGTTTTGGGTGAGGAGAGCTTAGTGTCTATATCACAACAAGGACATCAAATCAAAATCGAAACTGTCTTTGGCCTCATTGTTACTTACGACTGGAACCACGAACTTATTATCAAGCTCCCGAGCTCTTACTACAACCTGGTCTGTGGTCTGTGTGGCAACTTCAATGGAGACAAAACTGATGAGATTCAAAACCCAGCCGGAGAGTTGTTGTCCAATGTCGTGGACTGGGCAAAAAGCTGGAGAACTCCCAATCAAGAAGACAAGAAATGCAGTGACACGTGCCAACACGACTGTCCAGCTTGTGATGATAAGCAACGCAAGGTTTATGAGGCAGAAGACTTGTGCGGAGCCCTCACCGCTAAACACCATAATGTGTTTGAGATATGCCATGAAAAGGCTGATCCAAAACCTTTCCTGGACAGCTGTGTGTTTGACATGTGTATGAACAAGGGGGACAAGAAGATACTTTGTCAGACGCTGGCCTCCTACACTCAGCAATGTCGTGAGGAAGGAGTCGAAATCAACGGCTGGAGGTGGAAATTTGGCTGCCGTGAGTTGTTATTTTAGTTTTCATTCAACACAAACTAAAGCAATTTAGACAATTGTCACAATTGCTTTAGTGCTGCAAATACCACATCATTACTGCAGATAGAAATCACATTTTTAGAGCAATATTCAAGATCCTTTACTTCTACTACCAATACTAATATGGACTAACAATAGATATTTTAAATGTTATCAAACATTGTTGGTGAAGAGGGTAGCAGAGCCATATTAGTTTGTTAT